GCGCGGCTCTGCATTTCCTTCATTTGTCGCCACGAAAACTGCGAAGGTGGACTGGCTGTGGTCGTTTGCGATGCGCTGCATCGATTTGAATATGAAATGTTGCACAGTCGGCGCGCAGTAAATCATTGCGATGTTGCAACGTTGCAAATATGAGTTAATCTCATTGGCTGTGGCTCAACGCGCCATGTGATATGTTTATTTTCGAGACGTATAAGGCAGACTGCGTCGGCGCAGCGATTGAGTTGCAAGCGCCTTATGCGCCACTGTGGCATTAAGCGATGTCGACTTGTAATTCTCGCCACTTTGTTGCATTCACGTCAATAATGTTGCATGCTATCCTGTTGCTTTATATAAATTACCTAGCGTATGATTTATGCCAGCACAACAACAACAACGATAAGAATAGCAGTTGGTCGTCCGCTGTCGTCTGCACGAAAATGGTGTGGGTGTTGCCACACGGCAGTCAAACAATATTTATGAAGCGCCTTAAAAGTAATATCTGTATATATTTGCATACATATACACAAGTTGGTGTGCGTGTGCATAATAAAACGGCATAATTTTCGAATCAATTAAATTGCACTTGCGCCTCAATTACCAGCTTGTAGCGTTGCGCGTGTGCTGCAGGTCCTCTCAATGCGCCACGAGAGCGCTTCTAGCGGTATGGAGCTCCTGGTCATTCACTTCCTTTTTGAGTGTTGTGCAATTTGTAGTTGCGCACTCCACTTGCCTGCACACCAGCTTCTTACCTTTTGGTGTTTGTGCGCGCGGTGGCGCATGCGCATGTGCAGGCGTTGAATTTCATACATTAGCGTTGGCATTGTTTCGATTCGATTTGAAATTTGAATTTTGCATTGAATTTTGGGCAAATCGTAAAAGGTGATTTTCGCGCACGTGTCTCTGCATTTATTTGCCACAAACAATGGAATTTAGCCAAATTTGTTGGCTTTGTTTGTTTTTACTTTTGGAGTAAGCTCCCACATAACCGCTTTTACTCACACATAAAAGCGGTTATGGTTTAGATTTTCGCATTCTTTATTCAACAACTTTCTTATAAGCAAGTGTTACGTGTTGCATGGCGTAATGTAGTTTGGTTAACCCAACTTAAGGTTTGTTTCTATTCAAGTTATATATAGATTTATATATATTAAAATAAGCAAAAACTCGATTCAAAATAAAGGCATCTAAAGCAAATTTTTGATGCATACGAGGTGTGTTCAAAAAATAACGGAAATTTTCGTTTTTTGAAAAAATATTTTTTCATCCGCCTACATTAGTGTTGTTGACTTTAAAATAGTCTACATTCGATATTATGCATTTATGTCAGTGTTTCTTCCAATCGTCGAAAAACTTTTCAAACTCGACTTTTGGGATAACTATTAGCTCTTTGAAGGATTTTCAATTATCTTATATTGTAAAATGGCGACTTTTTAAAGTTCTCTTTATTATACTCTTGCAACATGTTGCTACAGAGTATAATAGTTTTGTTCACCTAACAGTTGTATGTATCACCTAAAACTAATCGAGTTAGATATAGGGTTATGTATATATAAATGATCAGGATGAAGAGACGAGTTGAAATCCGGGTGACTGTCTGTCCGTCCGCCCGTCTGTGCAAGCTATAAATTGAGTCAAAGTTGAGATATCTTGATGAAACTTGGTATACATGTTTCTTGGCACCGTAAGAAAGTTGGAATTATAGATGAGTGTAATCGGACCACTGCCACGCCCACAAAACGCCATTAATCAAAAACAAATAAATTGCTATAACTAAGCTCCACAATAAGATACAATACTGTTATTTTAACAGAGGATCGCATTAAGGAGGGTCGTATGAGGTTTAAAAAATGTTAGAAAGGTGGGCGTGGCCCCGCTCTCTACGAGGTTTAATGCCCATCTCTATCAAACCACTAAAGCTATAATAAGCAAATTCACTTAGAACAAATATAATTAAATCTTAGCACACCTACCGACAGTGTGAAAATTAGTGAAATCGGATGAGAACCCCGCCCACTCCTCATATAACAGTCTACGCCTACTTCCCATATAACACAAAATTAAGTTCCATCTGCACTTGGACGGCAAATATTTACAATTTTCATATTATCTTCAAACTGAATTGAACTCTAGTTTATTCTTACGCGGTGAAACGCCATGTTGGCGTTAACGAAGTTAACTAAACATCAATTGAAGCGTCAACACGGCGTCTTACCGCAGAAGAATACTCAAATAGACAAATGAACATCTCCGTAAAGAAAGATATTTGGCTATCTTAAACTTACCAATAAGTTCAAATCCTTCAAATAATAGTAATAAATTATTTAGTTTTGACGATAACTAAGAACTATGGTGGGGGTTATTTAAGGACATTTTGAGATAACATCTCCAGAAACCAGGTTAGGTGTAGTCGACTAAAATTGCAGTTTAACCGATACGAGTACTCAAATTTCAACCGGATGCGGAGCAAAATCAGATCAAATTTAGTTGGGTCTCTCTGAAAAGTGGTATAGCCGTAAAAATTAACTTGACTTGCCTTACCTTTGAAATGGTCAACCAAGTCCAGAAATTACTATTGTTTAAGTGATCTACGACGGGGTATATGACTATATGTATTCATGCTTACCAATATTTCACCACTCTAGAAAACATTTACTTGACCGCTCCTTAACTTTTTGGAATAAATTCGAATTTTGATTAATGAAATTTTGAATTAGTTTGATTATTTTCTTAATCGAAATCGGCTCATATGTTCTCTGTACCATTATATACCAATATAATATTGACCTTTCCTTTCATTAAATTTTATACCATACATATTATATTATATATGCTAACTATTATGGAAGTATCTGAACAAATGATAGTTTTCGCTCATATTAATAAGTTGTGGCACACAATTTTTATGAAATCGATCTAAAATTTCGCTTGCACGCTTATATCGAGTAATTTTCTTCTGTCCTTTTAACGTTAATGGAAACTCTTTTGACATAACCGAGATGACTAACTGAAATAACTATCTACGTTTGCAAATTATACTAAAGTGTGATATGAGGGTTGTATATTTTATGCATTATAGACAAATAAAATAACATTTAAATTAAATGTTTTTTTTAATGGGTAATCCCGAACATCTTAATTAAAAGTAGTTTTCAAATTACTAATAGCAAATAGCGGATTGAAAAAAAATAATAAATCTTTAATGCCAAAAATCGTATAAAAAACTAAAACTGTAAATTTTAAACCTAAATAGCGGTTTAAAAGAATTATAATTCCAAGAATCCTAAGCCGCGGCAGTGACAAGATTTTGGAAAAACTCGCACTATCAACTTTCCAGAAATCAAAAAGACATTCTTAAGGTATTACACGCCTTTATCATTTTCAGCCTTACAAGTAGTTGAAAAACGTGACAATGCTTAATTTGCCAAAATATAATGTAATAAATGTTTATTTCTATCTCTTACCATTTTAGCTTTTGATTTGGAAAATTATTTGTTTTGCTAGTTCAATAAAAAAAAAAATATTTTATCAATTTCTAATATTTTTTTCTTGGGACTAAAACTTAAAGTTAGTAGTTTATAGTTCAAATTTTCAATCCACGATTAAATTAAAAAAATATATATATATTTTATTAATTTTTAATTCATTTTTTCTTGGGATTAAAACTTAAAATTAGTATGTTTTAATTCAAATATTAAATTTTCAATTCACAATTTATTTATTAAATAGTTCGCAACCCTGTATATGATCAATGAAATAACTAATTACCGAAGCGAAATTTGTTGACTTACTCATTGCTAATTTGTTCCTACTGGGAAGTAGTGCATGCTTACTATATAGCATTTTCCAAAAATATTGCATACTTTTAGGCGCCGTGATCGCGACTATTTACCTATGTATACATATTTGTTCAAATACTTATACTTTATAACCGATTTTTCGGAAAAAGATATTAAGAATTTGTATACCCTGAACAAGGTATATAAAGTTTGCAACGCTGTATGCAACACCCAAAAGAACACGTCGGAGAAATTATAAAGTTTATATATACGTATGTATGTATGTATATGATCAGCGTGACGAGCTAAGTCGATTTAGTCTTGTCAGTCTGCCTGCACGTCTGCATACATGTATATATCAGTTCCCTCAGTTTTCGAAATATCGATCTAAAATTTTACAAACTTTTTTTTCTCACCACGAAGCTGCTCATATTTTGGAAGCGACGATATCGGACAACTATAGCTTATAACTGACATACAAACTGATCGATCAAACTCAAGTCTTTGTATGCAAAACTTTTTTATTTGTCAAGATATCTTCACAAAATTTCGCATGACTTATTTTTCAAGGCAATGCAACAATCTCCTAGAATATTGTTCAGATCGGACTACTTTAGCATATAGCTGCCATATGAATTTACCAATTAAAATCAAAATCTGGAAGACGTTCTTATTTTATTCTTTTATGTTAGAAAAAATGCACCTGTGAAGGGTGTTATGGCTTCGGTGCAGCGGAATTCGACGTTCTTCTTTTTTATAGATTTTTTTATATTTTTTTTTTAAACTTTTTTTTAATAAAAATTCGCAATTTAAATATGTTTTTAAGTATCATAATAATTTGTATATTTATTTGCATATGGATATATATTAAAAAGTTTTTTTTTCTTTGAAATATTAGTTAATATTAAAAATCAATATAGTTTTTTTTTAATACTTTGTATATTAGTAACTCTGTAAGCTTAAGCACTAAATTACACTTATAGGTGAAATTAAAAAAATTGTCAAGTAATAGAATAATGAAAAAAAAATTGAAAAACGTGATTCTGAAGACTGGCACAGTAGCCGCCATTTTGAATATAAATGTCAATATATTTTATACACTGAAATATAATATAGTGTAATAAAGCCCGAAAGAGAATAATACCATTCCTTTTTCCTTACTCCCAGCATAAATTGTCTGAAATGTTTGTAACAACAAAACAATATCGAATAAAAAAACACAACTTTTAAACTTTTTTCTTAAACTTAATTTATTTAAAATTATATTTGTTGCAAAATTAAAATCAGAACATAAAACGAATATAAGTAAAAGTAGAAATTTTTACAAAGATAGTTGTTGTTTTTTTTTACAATAATGTTTACCTCATATAAATAAAATCGCTTGATAAAAATGTTATTTGGGCAAGAAACAAAACAATAAATCTATATATATGTATGAATGCTGACTTTAGCAATAAGAACTGTTTGCAAATAGTTTTATATAATTCATATGGGTATATTGCTTGCATTAAATTTCCGTTATGTGAAATTGTGTATTTGTTGACTTTACTTCTTAAAAAATATGTATGTATATATAGCACAGCTTCGCAGAAATGACGAGGTGATACAAAAAAGCATATCACGCGCATTTCGGGTTTATTATTTTTATTATTTTGTTGTTGTAAATTTTTTTCTAAAAACTGTTTGCCGTTGTACGTACAATGTATGTGTTAGTGTGTATGATACAATTTATGTATATATATATACTTATGTATATACGAAGTATAATAATGAGCACAAAATTGCTTGCCAATGAATTATTGCGGTGCAAAATGTTTTTTTTGTTTTTCATAATGAGTTTTGAAAATTTAGGTCTTTTACGTTTTTTGATGATTTTTTGTTGATGAATTGCTTTTAGCCAAAGTTGGGTGAATGTGTGTGTGTGTGTGATTTCTTTCATATGATTACTTTAAATTAACTTATTTAAAAATAAAAATAATAATAACAACACAATTGTGTAAGTGTTAGGAACATTTGCAACAAATAAGATTTGGTAGTAGTTACTATCTTCTTCTTGTTCTGCTTGTTTTCTTTAATTAGTTAGTAAATTTGTCATGTCATCACGTGCGCTCAGCGGAGTCACGTGACGTAGCATAAATATTTAAATTCTTTTATTGAGATTTAAAGCAAAAGTTTTTAAAATTGCAATTAAAAATTAAAAAAAAATTTCCTTTGTTAAAAAAAAGTGTTTAAGTTGCAAAGAATAATTACAATAGGAAAAAGTATACAAATTTTAGTTTAAAAAATTTCAAGGTTTAAAAAGTAAGAAAAAAAGGTAATTAAAAAATTTTAAATTATGAAAAAAGTACAGGAAATTGTTTTTAAATAAAAAAACAAATTGCGTATCATAACTTATGCTTCAAAACATTGGAAATATTTAAAGCAAAACAGCAATAAAAAAACTAGCAACATTTAAAACAAAATTTTAATTAACAAAATGACAACTTACGAAAAAGAATACAAACAAAATTTTAATTAAAAAAAAATATATATATTGATGATGAATGAAGAAATTTAAAAAATTTTTACAAATTTAAATTGCTTTCTTGACAATCAAAGTAAAATTTTTGAAGTTAAAACAAAAAATAATAAAATTTAAGAATTAATAATTAAACTTTAAATATAATTTAAAAAAAAATATAATTAAATTTATAAATATTTAATTAAATAAATAAAATTTAGAAAAAAGACTTTTGAAAAATTTACAAATCAAAAAAATTTTAATTAATTAATACTTAAAGAAAGGGTTTTTAGTTCGGATTAAGACTAAAAAAAAAATTTTTAATTAAAATTAAAAAATATTGAACAAAAAAATTAAATAAAAATTACAGAAAGTGTTTAATTTGAAATAAGAAAGTAATAAAAAAAAGATTATTATTTTTAAATTATTGTTAAATCACTGCAATGTCACAATTTGTTTACAAATATCTTGTTTACCGTTAAAATTAAAGCATTTAATTATATGTATATATATATTTTTACTTTTTCACTAAATGTTTGCGCAAACCATTTGCTCAACAATCGCGTTAACAGCCACGTAAACCACATAGAGTGAATACTTCATTTGCATTGTTAGTAAATTAGAAATTAGCATAAACTTGCATTAATAATAAAATCTTTGTTTCTTTGCAAAAGAGAAAACTTCACAGACCAATTGGAGTTCGCCAGCTGGACGCGTACGGACGCAGCCGGCGAAGGAACAAAAAAAAATACTACATTATTACTACTTTGCTTACCGCTTTTGCGCTTGCCACAAGCTTGTGGTGCGCAAACGAAATGAAAATTTAACATACATACATTACATTGTTTTTGTTTTTGTTTTTGCTTTTGCTTTCCATTTACAAACTAAATAAAAATCTTACATTACTAAATCAACTGTGTAGCCCAGCGCAGATACACGCTGTATGTAAAGTTCAACGGCAATTTGTTCATAAAACGGTGATTTCTTTAAGATTTTTGTTTTGTTTCTCAATTCTCGAATATGATAGTTAAAATTAACGCTTTACTCTATATATATATATATGTATGCGTATTTGCTTACTAATTACAAGTAGTTCTACGAATTGTGTTAACTGTTCATTTGTTTTGGTTTGGTTTGGTTAAAATTACTGTTCGATATGCAAAATACGCGCGCGCATCGACATAAAGCTGCATTTATTGTTGTTATTGTATTTTTTTTTTGTTTGTTTTACGCTTTCTACTAAACTACATCACTAACACTATATGCATACGTATTTATGTATATATATATATATGTATATTAGATTATTATTATCTTGCATAATTAAATTTATATTTTTTTCGTATTTTTGTTTTTGTTATTTTGTGATACTGCAGGTCATGAATGCTTCAATTATGAGGCATTTTCACCAATATGGCTACCGCTGAATTCGGCATGGAACTCGAGTATGCTTACGTATAAGCCCGTTACGAAGCCTACTATGCCGAAGATAATCAGACCGATATCCTTCCATAGACGCCACTTGAAACGGCCATAGCCGGGATCCTCATGGTATACAGCCAATTCGATGGCCGATGGTATGATCATGCCGAGTGTACTCAGGCACACAGCACCGATGAGTGAGATGAAGGGACCCAAATTGGGTAACGCAACGGCAATGGCGCCGCAAAGAACCTGAAATAAATTTAAAAAAGATATTAATATATATTTGGTATTATTTGTAGTCTAAGTAGAGACGCCTGAACGAGTAATAATGTCAAGTACAATAGTAAAGAACTCAAAAGTGTTTTATAGACCTCAAGATTTTTGAACCTAACCTCACTTCCTATAGTAAATTAAAAAAATTATTTTGTATTCTATTTTGTATGACCATAGTATTAACGGTACTTAATCTAGTTCCAGCCTTTCACATCTCATCCTCTGCCTCATAAATTTTATCTAACCTAGCCTCAGATCCGTTCCCAAAAATGGTCGGGTATACGAAATGAGAACGGGCTCAAATTTTAATCCGGCCAAAGACAGTCGGTATTCTATAAAATATATTTGCGGAATTTTTTATGACGCTAAAACAATAATATAACCTGAGAGACATGAATAGGATTACCGGTGGGTTTTATGTAGAGCTAAAATCTAAAATCTCTTGGTAAGGCATATTAAACCTCTGAGACTATCTCCGATATAAAAATATTGCTCACAAAATTGACAAGCCAACCAACGTCCAAGGTTTTTTCAAACCAGAGTTTCGTTCTAATGGTATGGTAAATAGTTCTAGATTCAAAACAATAGTAGCCGTAGATGACGACTTTAAAGTTTCAATGATGACTCGAGATCAGTAATATCGTCCGTAATGAAACACTTTCAGTCGGATTCTATGTGATATAAATTTTTGTAATTAGTTTAACAAGATCTGGGAACATTTGTGTCGAATACCGAGAGAGGTAAGCTCGGTAAGACTGAACCTAACCATCGATCTTTTACTTTTCAAGAGCTATATCAGAGGTTATGTGAGAATATCGTTTCGGGATATACACAGGTTGCAAATGGACTCAGCTTACTTACTTCTACCAAAAGATCATATATAGACTACCATAGCTTTCAGTCGAATCTCTACACATGTGTACGCATGTTCCAAAAAATAATAATCAAATACTCACCACCAAAGCAATACGCAGTGCATATTCGCTAATATTTTTGCGCTCTTCGGAGATTTTGTGTGAAATACCCTTCCAAATGATGCTCACCGGCACATAGAACTGCAGCGTAAATGTGAAGAAGATCGCAATAGCAATCATAAGCTTGACAGACTGAGCCAATCTGTGAAACACAAGAAGGTCAATTAGAATATTACAGACAAGACACACACACACACACAAACAAACTTACTTGTCTTCAGCCGGCAAATTCAACGTAATGCTGCCTTGGGTCTTTGAGCCATACTTCAAGTAACCAAAGAAACCAACCAAAGTGTAGAGCGAAATCACAACACCCATACCGAAATTCAACACCGATGGGCAACCAATGAAATGTGTAGGGTTCTTCATGTCGTTCTCCAACGACATAACTACACCAATACCTTCCAACGCGAAGATTACAGTGCCGAAGAAGAGTGGCCATTGCACGACATTCACGATGCCATCGCGTTCCGATGGTGCAGGCAAATCATCGAATACATAATAGAATGTAATCACAATGCCGACAAACATCAAAATATTGGCGATCATCGAGAAGGGTGTGAGATACTTCAGATTGCGCACCAGGCACATAACCAACAATGGGCAGGTAACAATTACAATCCATACGCGTATATTCAATGGTTCCTCCATATATTCATCCAACACCGCCTTGACATTTGTGCCGACGAACACCAGATAAATGCAACAGCAGCCAATCAAATCGATAACAAGGAAGACATTTACCATGAAACGGATGAAACGAGACCAGCGATTCAAACCGGGCGGACCGTCGAGGAAGGCTTGTTCGGCCACATCGGCGAAACCCATCATCGGTATTTTACGCCGCCGACAGAGGATGTGCGCACATTTGACGAGTATATGCACACAGTAGGTGCAAAGTGTGCCCACCGCAAAGGTGGCGATTAAGCCCAACCACAGTCCAGCGTTCATGAAGGCCATCGGCATGGCAAGTATACCGGAGCCGAGTGAACCCTTCAGCAGATGCACCAAGGTCTCCATATCGCTAGAAATGAAAAAAAAATTAAATATTAGTGAAAATAGAGGCTTATCATATTTTATTTTAGCTTTAAGCTTAAAATCCTTTCCTTTCCACAATAAGGCTATATCTAATTTGAACTGTTTCGTTCTTTTTCGCGATGTTTATCGTTCTTTTATAAGGGATATGTCTCGAAAGACCCTTCCCTGCATAAGTGTTCATCTTCAGTCTAACTAGAGTTTTTTAATTGCGCTTTTAAAAGCACTTATATTTTTCTTACTACTTCTAAAAAAAAATTCAGTCCAATGTATAGACTATGTTAGGAGCTGTCACTTGGGCAGCTTAGAACGCCGCTCCATTGTGGTACTTAAAACACCTATTTAATTGATCAGAAGACCCTCACAAAGCACTTTGATCCTATCACAAGCTTGTTAGGCCGGCTAAAGTCTCCTCGTTTGTCGAAGGTAAGACTGGCAAGATGTTTCAATTCACCTCACCTTCTTCCACACAACTTTGATAACTTGCGTTTGGATTTTTAGCCTTACCGCATGAATGCTTATTGGGCAATGTCCAGTAAGAACTCTTACGATTGCGGCCAGATGAATTTTGCTAAGGGCAAGTAGTTCAGTAGATCTCCTGCGTTCTACTGCTTCAGCACCCTTCGACCAACACCTGCTAAGCGCACGCAATTATCTTAAAGGCGACGAATAATTCTTTCGAGAAAGATTTGATCAATATCTTGACCTCAGTACTAATAGATCTTAAGCATCGAGTTCAAATCTAATTGGAAAGTTCACATTGTCAAGAAACCGCATTACGCTTTTGTAATCTTTAACGATGTAGACGGTACATATGTATATTTCGACCAAAGGTGCTTAGAAATAATATTGTTAGTTGGAATCGAGATCATTTATGGCTCGAAGACCAAGTGTTTTATAAAAGATTTTCAACAATAAATATTTATTCCCAAAAAGCCGAGGTGCTATTGGCGACATAATAAGCAGAGATATCCGGTAACATAAACTTGATGAGATTATTAATTGGGGGTTCAACGCATTGAAACATCAGAAAGGTCTTGGGGACTTTGACAAGAGAAACGGTAAGTTAGTAGTTCTGAAACTTTACATCAGTTAAATTTCGGCAGATAATGTCTAGAAATATGTTATTAGTTAGAATATGAGTCATTTGGGGCTCAAAACTTGAGATCAGATAGAGCTGAACTCTTTGAACCACATAGTGGGAAATATCCGAAGAAGATCTTAAATTATAAGCTAAAAGTTTTTTATTTTCAAAAAAAAATGGCAGGAAGGAATGATTAGATCATTAATTTTCGGTAGATTGTTAAGAATATTCGAATTATTTACCAAATATCGAAGATAATGGCACTCTCAATCCTCTCACTCTTATTTAAGGTTAATAAAGCTTGAAACAAATAACAAAGATTGCCAAAAAATTTGCAAAGAGCGCCAACAAAACAAATTAATCACAGACAATTGACATGAATAAATGATGTAGGCGCACAAGAGAATGCATTAGAGTACCTTTGTATTTAAATAAATTTCAAAAATAAAATCTATTTAAAAACTGCTCGATGAAAACCGTCAGCTTGAAATGACAAAGTCAAGCAGAATGTGAGGAAAACATTGATTAACTTAAATAATTTAAATTGAAATTAAAATGTAATCTAAATATAGCTGGTGCTCATTGCTTTCTCTCTAAATCTCACTTAAGTCACTCGTGATGGAAAATTACAAATCGATTTAATTGACAATTTCACATAATAAATCGCCGCTAATTGTCAAAAGCGCTGCACTAAAGTGTAATGTGTACCACAGAGGTGCAAAGTGCAAGCTACGAGCCAGTGATCTGCGCAGCAGTGAGAGTGTGAGTGTGATCGTTTAGCTGGGCTTGGCGCCAACTCACACGCTCGCAAGCAAAAACAGGGAAAATCATATTTTCTACAAATCCAATTAGTGTCTTCCACTCGTAGCCTCATAGATAAATTACACACACACATATGTACAAATAAACCAATTAATTTATGCCAACAAAATTATTTTTTCAGTGTTGCATTTGTATTTTTCTCAATACATTTGACGCTTTCTTCATCTTCGATTTTTTGCATTTCCTTTTTTTTTTGCTTCGCTCAGCTATTCTCTTCGCATTTATTTATTTTTGACTGCACTTACTCGTACATTTTCGCAATTTTTTTTTTCATTACCAAGGACACTTTAAAGTGGTGGTGCCAAGTTTCGGCGACGCCATTTGAAAATTTCCGCTGACGTCGTGTCGCGATCTACAGCATACCTTTGTAGCTGCATAAGTGGGTATGTTTGTGCGGGTCTCTCGTATACTGTGTGGTTTTTGAGACCAAAACTTGATCAAGTGGAAAATTACCGGCAGCCACGAAATTTGTTTGCTGATCTCAATGAACGTTTGTTGCGAAAATTTGTAAAACATTTCGATGGTTTTTTGGCCGAGGTTTTTTACACATTTTCACTGTTTCGATGGCAATGGCCGTTCTTGAAGTTCAAGACTATGGAAGATCATTGACAAGTCAATTTGGCAGCTGTTGACTTTATGTTTACGATTTTGTTTTTATTGATGCTTAAGGTCAAAATTTTGCTTTCAATATCAAAGGATCAATTTCCTAATCTGGTTATCGACAATTTTACGAGCATTATTTATATAATGTTTTACAGTACAGTGGTTTTTTGAAAAAACGTTCCTTTCATCCTTGTATAGATTTTAGTATTTTTTCAACAAGTGTTACTGTGGTTAGTTTTAGTACTTCGTTTTGAAAGTTTCTCTTTGTAAACCCCAAATAAACCGCTTTCTCACGTTTCGAAGAACCTTTGCTGCTTCGGAAATGAGTTTTCTCATCTTGCTTCAAGAGCACTTCAATCGCCTCATTTTAATGTCGACTTTTGATCTTGCAGGCCGGCTAGTCCATCCCACCTTTTCTTGCAAAATATCAATAATCTGACAGATTCAGATATGATATATAATGCAATTTCATGAATTATGGCGCGAAATCTCATTAGATCCTGATCTAATCACAAAACGGTATTATACCTACATTACATTTCATTTCACTACGGATGTCCAAAAGTTTCAATATTTGTTGGAAATTCAAATGAAACTTGAAAAAAAAAACACATAATATGTTTATCGACGAAAAGTTTTCTGGAAATATTTATAATGGAAATTTATTGGGAAAAAATTTCCAAGAATTGAAAAATGTAAATCTAATCAAGCAGTATTATTTGGTAGAATAAGCTCAAAATCATAGTATAAGATCTTATGGAAGAACAGATTTGATAGGTATCTGAACGTGAGGTATTATGAAATTTATGATAATGTACAGCCATGCACTAGTTACAGGCTTCGAGAGACCCGCCAAAGTGATGCCAATATTCTAGGAAAGGCAATTTGAAAAAGATCGCCTGCATATTAGTTATATTAAAAAGCTTTTTTCACTCATTTAATTGAAGTTGGTTGGGAACCTGTAGATCACTTAGCTTCTCGAATAACATCGAGAGGGAGTTGTCATGAATTATACGCATACGTTTTGATTTTGGAAACTTTATATAGTTAAAGTATATTGGTACTAGATTTATACTCAAAAACTGCCTACTGAAATATATTATAATATTACCAAATAATTTTGCATAATTTTGAAAGATTATATTTTTAAAAAAAATTATTACAGTAAACAACAACAAATCGACTAAATTAGACAGATCTATCTGCAACCATCAATCGTTCGTTCATCAAGCGAATATTATAGCCACACTGTGAGCTATGTAAATGTTTGTTTTTGTGAGAATAAAAATAATAATATGTACGCAAGGTGGGCGTAACAGGAGGTATCAGCATGTGACCTTAACACTTTTTGCGCTTTTAATGACGCATAAGAAATTAAAATTCAATTAAAAGTGTTGCGATGCGATCACCGATCGTAATGGAAAGTTTCAGTGATCTTTTATTTGGAATTAATTACTAATTATTATTTTTCTACATTTTTTGTTTAATTTAATATTCATTAGAATTATTATTATTTGTTGTCTTTCCATGTGCAATAAAATTTTGTTTATACGCACGAGAAATCTCACGATATTTACCTTAGATATGCCAAATTTGTATGCCTGTTTTCTCTAATTCATTTTATTGTGTCCAAGTTTGTGGAGAAACAATAATTTATAATGGAAAATTTTGCTTTTCATTTTAATTTCTTTTTCCAAGTCACCAGGAGGTAGGTTTAGGGTGAAAACCCAGTGGTCAAACCTAGTAAATCAATTATTTATTTGTTGTGAAACTGCCAAGACACGTAATATTTTTTATGCTCTCCTCCACCTTTTTTTATTTTGTTTTGTTTAACTAGCAAAAAATTATTTTATTTTGTAAATTTTTCTAACCTCTGTTTTTAGCACAAATTGTGGTAAAATATTTAAAATTTTAATTTTTTATTTTTTTAAATTTAGTGGAATTCGGAATCTATTCAATTTTAATTAAATCATAAATTTTGTACAATTCAAAAATACCAAAATCTGAATTCAAAATCAAAAATATTTAAAAGCAGTTTTTGATTTTTTTTTTTTTATTAATATTAACGGAATTCTGATTTACGAAAAGGTTTAGTATGTTCTTTCTAGTAATATAGTAATACTTCAACTATCCAACCATCAAGACTTAAGCATAATCTGTTCGCCACTTTCTCTGTACTCATGTCAAAATATTTACTTTTGAAAACTACACCAAAAATATCTTACCTATTTCTAATCAAAAGAGTATTTGAATATCTCAGTTAAGTAATAAAACCGGTTGCTATTCTATCTCTACTGAAATAAGTATGCCTACTAGTATGTTTTAGTTATACCAGTTATTTATCCGATTCATCGCTTTCAAAGATTACCAATATGTACTGGATTATAACAGTATTTTCATTTGTACCAGTTTTCAACTCGATTTGCCACTTTCAAAATGGTATAACCCTAAGTCATTCTATGTCAAATTTCATTTATAGCAGTTATTTTTTCGATGCGACAATCTCAGGGTGATCTAACTACTGATTATCTGTTCTACTATATTACACCAGTTTTTATAACCAGTTTCTTGTTCGTTTCAACACACCTTAAAATTTGGCAAATCGAACACAACCCCTATGGCGAAATATAAATGATTTACATGTAGTGTATTGAATAAAATACTTACGAGGTCGGGTGATCGACTTTCCGGTGCTCGAACGGATTATAATTGACATCCTCCTCATCGCCTTTTTTACGTGTCAACACCAATGGTAACGTGGATCCGGCGGCCTGTTGTGCCGGCACATCAACCATATCCGGACGTATGAATCTATCCGAAGAAGTGTACATTTCAAACATTGTTGTTGATGAATTATTTTCAACGTTTTTATACATTTTTGTTTTTATAATAAATAAACTATTGCACTGCACGAGATAATAGGTATAGACTTAGTAATAACCAGCACCAAAACTACAACTACGATTACGTTGCAAGGCAATCAATAACGGTCTTATTATGTTTATAAAATTTTGTATTTATTTTTTGTTCAATTATTTTTATATCGAATGCCTCAAATTGCAAGTAGTCAGTTAATTAATTTTGTGAAAATATTTAGTAAAATAGACGTGCTTTTGTTTTATGACACGATTTAGTAAAACATACTTTGGTTGACTCGAGTTGATCGCGCTACTCCTAGAACCGGTGTGCGTCTCGTTGTCATAGCTCGCCGATACTGTCGGGATTTTCTGCAAAGATATTTGAATAGAATAAAGAGATCGTTAATTTGAGCCAAATGTACAATTTTCGTTCTTATTTTTAATTACATACATATGCACACACACACATATACGCATACACTCATATACCGTATGAACTTGTGATAGATATTGGTATAAGTATATTTCTTTTTTATCTTCGAAATTCGGCACATCGTTTTCGTTCATTTTGCACGTGTGTGCGTCAGGTTTGTCGGTTTTGCTCATCTTTTTATTGTACTTATGTATATTAGGTGAATTTATATTATTTTTCTGTTATGCGCATGTTGCGTATGTAATATATTTTGTTGCATAAAATAATTCTGAATTGAAAAATAGTTTCTCAAGAAAAAATAATTTATATAGGCTTCCCTTCGGTTATAAATTGGATGTATTGGCATGTAATTTATATATTTCTTAAAAAAAATTTTAATTAAAAATTGTTTTAAATCCATACAGCCTATAGAACCCACATTTTAGTTTTCAAACTGAAGGGAACATTTTAATATTTTTGGACAATTTTTGCAAATAGGTAGATTTTATTAATAATTATTTTAAAAACAAATATCACAAACTGTTTTTATTTAGACTATTAAAAATTAAAATATTGAGCGAAAATAATTATATATTTATTCATTATTCTATTTTTCTATTGTGTTATTTTAAGCTTTATAAAAATGTTCAATGTATTAAAACAGTTTATAAGAACTTCAGTTATTATTAAGCGTAATAAAAACAATATATACATATATATAGATATTATCGTAGTTTTTTTTAATTTACATTGCAAATAATTTTAAAAATAGTAAAACCTTTCTGTATGAGTTTTAGTTAAAATTAAAAATAGCAAAATATATAAAAAAAGATATCAACGTAAATATTTTTATTTGTATTTACATTAAAAAAATGAATTTTTGTCAAAATTTCTATTTAAAAGCACTATTTTATATTTTTTTTTAAGTTTTTATTATTTAATCCATTTTTTACAATTTATTTTTGTTTTGTATTACCGTTAATTTTTTAAATTATTTTTTAGAGTTTATTGAGAATTTTTATTAAGAATTATATACAAAATTTTTTTTTTGTTTAAATAATATTATTTATATGTATATATCTACTTGTTTTGTTTGTTTTATATTTTGTTTTAATAAATGGTCGTGAATGGCCTTAAAAAGATACTTTTTGAAGCAAGAATATAATATTTAGTTTAAAATTTTTAAAATATTCTAATAGATATATTATCGAAATTTAGTACATTAGTTTTTATAATTTTAGTTTAGAAAATGTTATTTAATATTTCATATTATATTTTTTATATTTTAGCAACGACACGTGGTTTTAACAGCACAGAATGAATTATATCTTTTGTTTGAAATTTCGTAAAATTTTAATTTTTATCGGATACAATTGTTTTTTTTTATTTTGGTCAGATATAATTTTTTATAATAACGAAAATTATAAACCCAATGTTATATATATTTAAATTTGTGTAAATATTTTTTTTTTGGAAATTTCGGAAAATTTTAAATTTATTCGGATACAAATTTTTTTTATAATAATTAAATTTATTAACACGAAAAACATATTTTAATGAAACCTGCAAATTTCCTTTACCACAATTTTTTCTTTACCAATAGCTTAGGGAATAATAAAATATTTAATTTTAAGATTTTCCGTTTCATGTATTTATACAAAATAATAAAAAGTATTGTGCATTAAAATATCGCAAGGTTAAGAGAAGGAAAAACTAAATCAATTTTTAGTTTTATTACTTAAAGATTTTGTATTAAATTTTCAATTCACAAAATTAATAAAAAGCCGAATTTCTTTAAAAAAAAAATTATTTTTACTTTCATTATTATTTTTATTAAATTTCTTTGAAAACAAAATTACTTCCATTATTACAAGATTTTATAAAATTTTCATTTCAAAACAAATAAAAGATTTCGTTGAAATTTCTTTGAAAAAAAATATTTCAAAAATTTGCCACAACTGTAGTTCACACTATGTACAAAAAAAAGTTTCTCAGTGCGTTGCGCATTGCGAATGCAGCTCTCACTCACTAACATTACAAACACATTGGCTACGAACTGTAAAAATCACTCATTCGCACATGCAGCCATTACAACTCGCTGCCGGTGCACGGTGCGTATACGTATCTAAACGACCCTGACTGCTTAGGATGCGACTATGAAGGTATGTAAACACATGCTTATATTATCTATAGCTACATACTTTTGTATGTGTTGAAAGCTGTTGAAAGATCACAATATTTCTTGTTTACTCTATACTATGTGTAAGTATGTACGTGTGTGTGTTTGTTTGTTTGCTTATAAAAATATGTCGAAGAAAATCTTTTAAACAGATGAGCAAAAATGGAAATTTTACAGCGGTCAACCACATAGTGGAGACACGCCAAACGCCCACATGTGGCTGGGTGTTTACATAAATATATACATATTTACTTATATACCCATACATATGTATATAAACATATATATTTACTTAGAACAAAAAAAAAGTAAAGAAAAATGAAAATGTGACCAAAAACAAGTGAATTCTTTCAATAAATGCAAACATACAGACAGTCAACAAAGCCTTCAGTATTTGTATACCAAAAGTAAGCGTTTAGTCTGCTAAATGCGTCAGCATACGATGCTGCCTAGAAAGATTAGTAAATAATAGATCAACAAGCTCACTACCAAGGCGTCATAGTAAACAATTTCATAGATTTTCGGAAAAATGAATGTAAAAATAAATATAAAAAAGTGAATGAAACGCAATTGTTGGTCAAAACTAACACAAATTAGAATAAATGTATTCAATTCTAAATATATATAAATAATTTTATTATTAATAAACAGAGAGTCGAGAGCAAATAAAAGCTATCTCATTAATTAGGTCGAATTTTCATGCATAGAATATATATACATATATAAATATATATATTTTTATTTTTATTTTTACTCTTCTATATATACATACATATAAATAAATGAGTAAATTGAACTGAGCAGCTGCGCTCATCTATTCGCATTAAATGCCTTCGCATAAATAACCAACACTGAATTTAAGCGATGAAATATTGCATACACAAACAGAAATTGTATAAACAAAATATAAAAATAAAAAATTTCACAGACAAAAACAATTTTTTTTTTGTATTTTTTGTGGTTTAAATTTTTTTGTTTAATATTTTTATTTTTTTTTAACTTTTTTATACTTTTTTAATTTCTTTATTTTTTTTTATTTTTTTTTTTGCAGCCATTATTTGTTTAAATTTTTCGAGCACAACTTTTTTTAGTCAAGTTCATTCACTACACAATTCAATTTCTCTCTCACACAAACATGCTAGACAAATACACAGATATTTAAATATGTATGTATGTATGTATATATACAACGCTGTTTATATACATTTTAACACAAACATAAATACAAATATGTGCTTGAATATGTAGCAAAACAGCTACATTTGTACGCTTTGGCTGCTCATATAAAGCATTAGGAAATAAAAACAAAATTAAATCACTATAAAATAGCAAATAAAAAAAAATCTGTCTAATTTTGATTTGCCAGCACCGCAAATAGAATTCACGAGCGTATCACGGAAATCGAAAATCAAAATAGTAAAATGTAATAAATTCACTTCACGAGACTCAAAAGGCGCACGCTTCAGTGGATCGCAAAACTGAATACTGCAGATTAAATGACTTGTGGGGCATAAAACAAAAGTAAAATAGCTTAGAAGAGCATTTTCACATATTTGTAAAGAAAATAATCAATTTAAAAAGTATATGTAAAGCAAATGTATCCAATCATGTTTAATGTAGATTTTTGTTATTGTAGACCAAAAATATTATCATCTGCTGTTCTTCTGTACTAACTGGAGTTGTCTTTTACATAACTATAATTTAAATTTTTCTCTCATTTATTTATTTAATAAAAATATGTTATAATACCTCAAAACAATATTTAATTAATATTTTGAACTTTCGTATTTTACGCCAAAAAGTATGCATTATTTTATCAATATATTGCAAATTTTGTATAAAAAGCCAAAAAGTATGCTACATGTAATGTAAAACTGCAAGCACCCTGTATTAAGGTTTTAGCCACGAATAGATAATAATGAAAATATACCAAAGTAATCGAGTACTACAGCACTGACTGAAGATTTAAATAGTTTTATATAATACACCCAAAAATTATGCTTTTTATGTTGTGTAATAACACCTAGTTTTTTGTTTCTTAAGTTTTAGTAGAAGAAAGAAGGTAATGCAAATCTTTTACAGTAATCAAATTGGTTATCTGCACTAGACTTCGACACTATTTTTTGATGTAAGATTTTATCAATGACTGAATTTTAAAAATATTGCTTAAAAAAACACAGGTTAAATTTCTGGTAAAAGAAATAATATTTTAACACAAACTGTGAGAGAGTTTTAGACATCTATTACTTGCTTTTACAAATAAATATTTGCGTCTAAAAATTAGACCACTGTATGTATATATGTATAATATTATATATTAAAACGCACACAATAAATATTGCCTACATTTTAGCGCGCATGTTCAACCCAACGTTTATTGAACCAAAATCATATTTATCGAAAACCATCTGTGAATTTTAGCCAAATTTTATGAAACTCGGAGAGAAAATCTCTAGAATATGTGTAAAATAATAATTTAATATAAAAGTCCATGGGTGATAACTGAAATCTTTGTACAATGAAAATAGAATTTAGCGGTCACTACGATAACGCTTATAACAATAATAACTCATGGGTTCAATGAACATTGCACGAAAACGTTTTCCAACATATATGTCACTGATTTTTATTTATTTTCACTAAAATTAACTTTCAAACATTTTTATACTTTCATAATTATGCATCTAAACCCCGTTTAGCAACTTTAAGCAACAAGGAAAGATCTCCAAAGCACACTTGAATTTAAATATTTTCAAAAATAGAATCCGAGTTATTTTTCTATACTTTATTCTCCATACTTTCCTTAAACACACCACTTTCATTCACTAACTCGCTTACTCAACTCACACGCAGCATATTGGCTGTGCCCAGTCCCGACGAGGGCGCTGGTGGCGGTCCACCGGTACTACCTTTGCGACCACCACCAACACCATTACGCATGGCCATCTTCAGTTCACGTCTGTTCAGCGCTGCCGGCGATAAACGCGTTTCACGTATACGTGCCTTTGCAGTGCCACCATCCCGCACACCACCCGCACTAATAGAACCCCGCGTGCCGCTATGCCTGCGCAATGCAATGTCGTAGCTGCTGCTGCCAGCAACACTACCGACGTCATCGCCGTCACCGCTGTCGCCTGCTATCGTGAACGTTTGCAGCTCGTGCTGCGCGCGCCGCGTTATCGGTGGCTTTGACGAGCTCAGTTTGAATGTTTACGTTGGTCACCGACGCTAAGCGCGAAAAACTGTGCGACATAAACGCGCGCAAACGAAAGGAAAACGTAAAATTTATGCGAAATTGTGAAAACTAATTCACACTGTGCGATGCTGTGCGTCCAGTGTCTGCAAGTGACTGAACAAGAATTGGCATACGAACAACAAACACCAGTGTCGCCAAATTTTATTATTACATATGTCGGATTTTATTATATTTTTGAACAAATTTTTCAAGTGCAATTTCGCGACACTGACAGAGATTTTACAAATTAAATTTATGCATTAATTCAATTAGAGAAGAACGCGTTTGGACGGCGTGCGGAGTATTTATATTTTTTTGATTTGTGTTTGTTTTCTTTCGCTACAATTTGTGGTGCACGCGGCCATCAATGTTAGTACCGTCTTTCCGGAAAATCTGTCCTCGACTGTTTCAGCGCCAGTGGAATAGCACTGATCTGTGAGCGCGGCGCAGCATTTTCGTAGATAAAATTTGCATTTGACTGAGCATCCAAGCGTCGAGTGACGCGCCCACTGACAGTCAAAGTGTCGCGGTGTTAACAACAGTCACCCATGGCTGGTTCGTCAACCGCGCGGGCGTGCAAAATACAATCGCGATCACAGCGATCAAAACACAACAATGTACCGCCACTTAACATACAGACTTACATACATACATAGTCGCTCAATTGACATACTAAATACTTGGTAGACGAATTCCCAAAAGTGCTCGTAAGCGAGTGTACAGCAAAATGTTGATCAGCATTAAATGGGGAGACAACAATGTTGGTTCAGCGCTGAAATTGTGAAAAGCGCGCAGGCGGCGCTCAGCGGTTTGACGATCTTGGCATTTCAATAGGTAAAGTAATGTGATCATCAAATTGGTGATCGCAATAAAAACGTTCAGAATATGTATGACGCTAATGATGTGCATTAACCTAAACGAGTTAAAAACGTTGGAAATTGCTAAATGTGGGGTTAAAGTGAACACAAAAAGCGCACGAGTTAGTCTTCTTTTGAATTTTTTTAAATGTCGTTTAGACCCAGCATACATTTAGTAACGGTTCTTCACCGAAAATATTATCCTATTTGTTAAGAGAGCATTTAGCAAGATTTTTGAACCCTTACGAAAACTCGTCTTCTATTTGGTAACGGTTTAGACTGAAAATAAAGTATGTTCCCCTTAACTCAACAGTAAACAAGATTCGGTCTAATTTTGTATAACAATTTAGACTTTTCGAGGTCCGTAGAAGCTAAAATATCATCTTTAACCAACTACATCTACAAGAGCTTGGATTTACGTAATAAAAAGTCCCGTTTTAATAGCTAACAGAGATTTGTAAACTCAATAGCACTTTGAAAAAACTACTTGGAGAGGAATTTACGAGTATGCTGTGGCAACAAAAACCAACGGTGAATCCTACGCTACTAATGTACCGATCTTACGACAATCGGGTATTCGTAACAGGAACGAACACGTGTTTATATCCGGCGAGAGACAGTCAGACCGGCAGCAGTCTCAAAAAATATGTAGAAAGTATTTTCTATCGCTACAAAAACAAAGAGTCAAAAACAAAATTTTTAAATTTGTTAAACTCCCTATAGTTTTCTTTCAACCCTACAATGAGCATCTTAAAATTAAAATACTCTCAAATAAATATTTACGGTGTCAGAAAACTTTGAACTTTTGGAAAAGTCTGCATATTTTCATATGTATTGTTGTAGAAAAATTTTATGTCTTAAAGCGGTTATATACAGTAAATAGCTCTAGGGAGAATTCGGAAAGCTAGATGAACGCGCGGTAATTCACAAAAAATACTCTAAAACCATTAAGACTAAAACCTAAATTTGCTAAATTTCTCATTGTCTAAAACGCATTTTAAGAAGCTTTTAAGTGAAAGCTCATTTTCAAAAGCTTTTTACATGAAAGCTCTTACTTTAGTGTATAAATACTGAAATAGTAATTAAAGTATGATTATTTTCGAGACATATTGTTAATATATCTGAAAGCTCATTTACAAAAGCTTTTTTTTTAACTTGAAAGCTCTTTTCACATTTGATGCATAAATATTGTTGTAGTACTTAATTTATAATTATAAAATAGTTATATTTACTAAAGCCATCACTTTATATGTACAATCCACACATTGGTCGAAACCGCCCCACAGCCTCTACAAATTTCCTTCAAATATTTCCTATCTGCATACAGCAGCCACCACTCGCCCAACACTGCACTTTGGTATGCAGCAAGCCACATAATAAAAATGTCAATTATCATGCCATATAAATAACATAAAATGCAACAATAACATGCAAGTACAAACAAGTCCCCCACGCCTTGGCAGAATGAGCCAACATTCCCGTTTTATTGCCAGTGAAAAAAACATAAAGCATGTCAGCCCCTACTCAGTAGATTAATGAAGAGAATAACAATTCAGAATGTTATGTAAAAACAATAGAAAAAACGAAAGAAATTGCAGATAAATTGCAATGAGTGAGCGAGTGCTGATCACTGAATGTTTAGCCACAATGTTGCGGCACAACGAACGTGCTCAGCGCATGCAACACAAGTGGCGCGCGAAGAAACCGCGATTAGTGCGCCGAGTGTCTTTAAACTTGATTTGTATTTAAATTCATTTGAATAATTTATTGTTACTGTAAATTTGCATACTCACAAACCAACAGATAAGTCAACCACTCAATTGAGCATAGTTTCAGGTTGGACTACAAGTATTTGACAGTGGCTACTAATGACGGCAACTAAGCAGCCAGCGGGTTTGTCATTATAATGCAAAAGAAGCAAGTCGGCCAATGACGTTAGCGAGCAGCCAGCACGCGCAACAAAAGCGAGCAAATGCGTCAGAGCGCACACCGCCAACCGTCAATGGGAGTGAGAGCATGAGATTTGACTTCAAGAAAGAAATTCATTAAATAGCAAAGCGCTGCAAACATGAAAATGTTCAAATTATAAATATAATATATAACTCAAATAATTTAAAAATAAACACCAAGCTCCAATTGAATTGATTAAATGTTGTAATGACCAAGTCGTAATAAACATTACTCAATACCATTTGGCGCTTTCTCTGCTCTTCTCGTGCCGATAACTCTCATAAATATCGTATACAACATTCTATTTGTTGTTTTTGTATATTTATTTACATTATATTCTTTCAATTCAAATACGTAAAGCAAAGCATTGCGAAAGTTACGAGCAAAATAAATGAACGAACCAAGCGTCGAGCGCGCCCAACGAGGCGTATGAGCAACCGTGACCATGACATTCACATGCCGATAGCACAGTCGGCTGATTACAATGCATGAAGCGGCCCTATAGAAATATCTACTATTAAACGTAAGAGATTTAAAAGTCAGTTGAGATTGTGTTGCATATGCGTTTAATTAGTAATGAAGATAAAAATATTATAAAAGATAAGTAAATTATATTATGTGCTTGATATAAGCGACTCAAATTTATCTTAATTTATCGATATACCGATGAATTTTAATTTTAAATTTTCTTTCTTTAATAAAATAATACCATAAATTTAATTATAAATTATTTTTATCATTTTAAGCCCAAAAAAATAAAAAAATATGAAGCATGAAAAAAAAACAAATAAAATAGCATATAAGAAACACATTAAAAAAAGTAGAAAAAAGTATTACTTGTCTTAGACTTTATATTCCCTACTGGTCAGCTCGCGCTCATCTCGTGTACACTCGCAAATCTAGCGTTGACGTCGGTTGTGACTTTTTTCTGAATTTTATAAATGCATTTTTTATTCGTTTTATGGCTTCTTATTTTGGCAAAGAAAAAACAACAACAAAGAATGAATTTATATATTTTTTCGTGTTGAAATAAAACAATAGAAACTGTTTTATAAAATAATCTGGTATTATATTATAATATACATAAGTATGTACGTATTAACATGAACGTAACAGTTTTCCCACAGTATAATGGCAGGTTTGCATTTAAGTAAATAATTTTAGAAGATTTTTATTTATTGTTTTTTATACTCGCCTTTGAATGGTTTTCAACAAGAAACAAGCTTAAGTGCAGAGCAAAATTTTATATACATATACATACAAGTAGGTATACCATATTCACATACAAAACATTTCCACGTCTAAGTTTCTCTAACATTCTATTGTAACACAAGCAGAAGAATAAGAATTTTTTTTTAAGTTAGAAAACTAAGCGATTTACTTTATGAAGAGAGGCTACCAAATTTTGATTCTCAAAATAATATTATCTCTATTGTCTCTAGATTTGTGGAATCTTTCTTGAAATCTTGAACAGGGTATATTAAGTCTGCCAAGAAGTTAGTAACACCCAGCAGGAGACGTAGGAGAAACTATAAATTATATATGTATATTCATATTGATAATTGCTACAATCTCCGAATATATTGTATTTATATAAAAATTCGTAATATTTTTTCATTTTGGGTTTTAAATTATTTTAAATAATCTCTATAAATTCCTCCAAAATTTCTTTACGACCACCAAAAAAAAACGGTTTATTTAAATATGGTTTCGCTTTCATGCATTTTTCAAAACATTTTCCACTAAACAAGTTTATCTGCACTCCCATTGAGATCACTTTATGTGAAAATACCGTTATATAAAACCAATTTTACAGCATTTGAATGATCTACTAATCGTGTATCTTGGCAAAGCCAAACATGGTGCGGCTACAAAAAGTCCATAAAACTGCGCTTCAATGTATGGAAATATATATATCTTCCTATACCTATACATACATACATACACACATATGTATAATAAGTCATGAAAAGAGTAATTGCGTTGCCGAAACTACGTCGCAACTTAACTTTATCACGAGCTGCTCACCTTACAGCAAAAAAAAAATAAAGAAACAAAAAAATCGCCTTCAAAACTCGCATTAAAATGCAAAACTTAAGAAACTAATGAACTGCACTTTTCAGCTAAATAAACAAGAGTTCAGGTATATGCATACCTACCAGCTCTCCAATATATGCATGTAACGGCACTTTATATATGCGCAAAGGTGAAAAAAGTGGGAAAACAGTGCATGGAATTGAAAATGTATTCTGTGTTTGTTGACTCAAGAAACACGATACGAATTAATTAGATTTGAAGTCCGTTAGTTTCAACGATAGAGAGTTGTGGGGTAGAAACGAGTAAGAGCGACTGAGAATGTGGCATGCCGGAAGAAGCTTACATAAGTGCGGATGAGGTAGTCATATGATGATGCACCCGGTTGTAACAGGTTTTGCCTAGATAATACAAGTAGATTAATTGCAAATAAAATGTTTTCACAATTGACTCGGCAAATGCGAACGAGTGACAATAGAAATCGAGAATGTCATTTAAATCTATTGATTGCTGTAACAATGTTTTCAGGGTACTACAATTTGAAATAGGTTGTTAGCTTCATTT